TACCCTCCGAGGAGTTTCCTTACTATACACACCATTGATCTACCTTTACAGCTATCACTCAAGCATGGGTTGAAGCTTCGTTAAGTAAGACCAATATCATCAACACAGTAAACGGCTACCATCTACCCTACAAACTGGCACTTACATGGCATAAAATGGGCAATCCTATCCCAGCTAAAAGCAGCTGCTGTGGCATGGGGTAAATCATGATCAGGGTCATCAATCTGTTGTTACTCAGACAACTAAGCACATGTCATATCATCAACAAATGCCACTCTTCATCCATACGATCATGGTATTGCTGGGGAACTCACTTGGTTGGCCACTTACCACATTTATTTTACTTTCATGTACCAGGCGGGGGTATACATCCTTGCCAACAATTGTCTCATTTACATTCCAGGCACGTTCATCATACGCTTCCTACAGCCGCCTATACAGTCACGGCCACTCTTTCGTTCCAGAGACAAAATCATGGATTAGACATACTCATGCAGCATAGCATGCACTATCCCACCTAGCACTTTCATCCCATACTTGTAGAACGCATAACACCTATTCACCTGGCTTTAAAGAATCTCATTGGAACACGACATAGCTCAACCTGTGTCATAACATTTCTCCTAGGTTTTGCTTCATTTTTTGCCACCTTAAACTAAAACCATCTCACACACCATTAATTATATATTTTACAGGCATTCAACAACACAGGATAACCTATGGCCAAAACTACCATAACTTCATGCTATCATACCAGACAAGAATATACTCAGAGGTTTTCAGGAATCCATCCCCCCACGTTCCTCTCAGATATTACCAATAGCCATCCAACTTTTCCATCCTTATCGGACCTATTAGAGCTACAACCATTCAATTATACTACCAAGTTGGCCATTACCAGCCATGCACACTGCCTTTTATGCCTTTCTCAGGCCAGAGACTCCACTACCATAACCACCACTCAGACAGATCATTGTCTTCAACGATCCCACGTATGTGAACACATATATCATTACCTATTGGCTCTACCACATTCCAAAACGAGTCAACACGCACCAACAGTAGAGATAAAATACTATCCTACCCACAACAAATGGTGTCCAGTTGCGGTCCTAGATTCCTACCTTCAAAAATCCTTCAAGGAATTAAATACCGTAATGCATTTAAGGAAATGTCTGGTTAATTTGTATATATTGTTGACTGTATTAAATCTTTGATTATTCTTTTTGCCCTCTTTATTTACAGGCACACCACAACCGACTTGCTCCCTTTATACTATCCTACGCTTATGCTGGAACCTTACTCCATATACGGCTATTTGCCCCGAACACAAGTTTTAAGGCCATTTTGCCTGTATTTGTGGGAGGGGCTTAAATTAATTCACTCCCCTATATAAGGGACACCCCTTACCTGACTCATATCGCTTGAGGTCAGCATCAGAATGACCCTCCCACCCACTCCTCATTTTAACACTTTCTCTTTTCTTTCCATTTACTTTACTTACTCCTTGGTGGGCCCTCTTTATTTACAGGCCTACCGTATCGTCGGTCTCGGCACACCACAACCGACTTGCTCCCTTTACACTATCCTAAGCTTATGCTGGAACCTTATTCCATATACGGCTATTTGCCCCGAACACACAAAAAAAAAAATATATATATATATATATATATATATATATATATATATATATATATATATATATATATATATATATATATATATATATATATTTCTTCTTCTAATTCAAAA